GGGGGGGGGGGGGGGGGGGGGGGGGGGGGGGGGGGGGGGGGGGGGGGGGGGGGGGGGGGGGGGGGGGGGGGGGGGGGGGGGGGGGGGGGGGGGGGGGGGGGGGGGGGGGGGGGGGGGGGGGGGGGGAGACAGGAAGCAGACCAAAGAGGTTTCACGTGGGTTATATTCCCATGCACTTCGTCCGGAAGCACTTCTGTCCCCACCAACACGTGCTTCTCACGTGAATCCCCATATGCCTTAGTTCTGTGGGCCCTCCTCTTTTCTTTTTTTTTCTTTTTTTTGGTGATGGAGAATTTATTTATGGCCAAATTCAACCATGTGACATTTGAATACGATATTTCAAACATTATTAAATGCTTTAGTTTTTAATATTAAAAAAATATATATATATATATAAAAGGAGATTTCTTGTTTTTTTTCCTCTTATTTTCTTTTTTTAATAATTTTTTATTTAGAGAATTTTAATTTTTTTTTTAAAAAGCTATTTTTAAAATGGATAATAGAATATAAAATGATTAATTTATCTTTTCAAAATTATTATTTAAAAAATGTGAATGAACGAATGAATCTGTGGTTGCTAAACAAAATAAATAAAGATTGAACGGTCAATATGAGTAAATGCTCTGAACGTTCTAAAGAGAGATAAGAGATTTGAATTTCTCGACCTTCATTCCTATTTGAACTCAAAAAAGAAAAAAAAAAGACGGGGTCATCGGTTTTGAAATCAACTCATATTTTCATCAACCAATTTTAGATAATACAATGAAAATATAAAATAAATAAATATATATTAAAAAAATGGTATAAATCTAATGATGTTAAAGTGTGGAAGAAGACAAGAAAATTAAATAATTAATGAAATGGATGTAGTCAGTTGCTCCAAAGGTGTTTTATGTCCTCTTGAAGAGTTTGGTGTGGTAATTACACTTCTGCCCCCACTTAGATTTATTGACTAATTAATACCCAAAAATAAATTAAATATATATTCTATACAAAATAAATTTGTTACCAATTTCATAGGGTTTGGGGTGGGGCTTTGTGGGATAGAAGAAATGGAGCATTTTTTCAACCCAATATTTAATGAAACTATCAAAGCTGGTCTCAATGGGCCAATAATACATAAATAAATTGTTTTTTTTAAAATAGATATAAAATATTACTAATTCATACAGATTAGGTTCGTATTATCGAGCATAGCGTAACGAAACTTATGAAGACAACAAAGGAGAGTTCTTGCTCATAGAGATGATGAACAATACTAATTATCGGTAGGTCAGAAGTTTGCTCGAAAAAACTGACGTCTTAAAGCGGTGTGAAAGTCATTCTTGATAGGTCATAAATCTACTGTTTTGCTACTCTTACTGGTAAGGTACCGAAAATATAGTATTCTGGGTCGCTCGATCCAGTTATCACAACCCTACACATGCATAGAAAGAAGAGTTCAAATGGAACAATATATGGAAATAACC